CACACACACACACATACAAACACACACACACACTGACACACGCACAAACACACACAGACGCAGACACACAAACACACACACACACAAACAATCACACACACACACACACAAACATAGAGATACACACAGACACACACACAAATACACACAGACACACACAAATGTTAAGATATCGGCAAGTGTACCGAATCGTATCAAGTAATAATAAAATGGTAAGACCAAGTATCGTTTCCCAAAGGACTCACGATACTAGACAATTATGTGATTACTCAACTAATTAAGACTTTGAAGAAAAAATTTTGGGTTTTGAATGCAAAACAAGAAAGTAAATATGAGTTCCAATTGATCAATTGGGGCTAAACACAAGAATAAATGGATGAAGTTGAAAATATGAGATGAGTATGTTGTTGGGGTTTAGATTTCACCTAGTCTACTCTCATGCATATAAGAATTCATCTTCTTCATTCAATTGTTAATATCACTTTCTAAATTACTTAAAACCCGATGTCACGGTGAAGAAAGCATATCCTTAATTACTAGATCACAATGTCTTGTATCACTAGTAATTAATTATGCATTACGATTAGAAGCTTAAGATGACCAAAACTCATATCCCTATGTCTAGACAATACTGCTTTTGGGAGAAAATTCTCCAGATCTAGGTTTCCCCGTATGTGTCCATATCACGAAAACCAATAATCATGCCATTAATGAGTTAAACGTAACAAGCATTGAGCAAAGAAGAATAACCCTAACAATTAATGAAAGAAGCATAAATAAATTGGAATCAATTCAAATACGTGAGAGTTTAGAGGTTACATCTTTCCCAACAACAAATTGTATTTAGTTCCCCCTTGTCATGGACAAACTAGATCAACAATGGAATGAAAAAGATAGAAAAACCATAAAAACTGAAGAGGAGAGCTCCCACATCCCCAAATCTGCCTCCAAGGGGTCAAAAGTGTGTTTCTATGCTCAAGCCATCAAAAGATACAAATCTAGGACGTCCAAGTCCTTATATAGATAAAAACAAATAATAGAAACCAGGTCCATATCCACGCTGGCGCTCAGCACCTTAAGTGGGGCGCACAGGCGGTGTGCGGGAGAAAACTGGAGCTCAGCACCCCTGGAAGGGCGCCCAGGCGTGGTGCGGGAAGAAATCTGGCGCTTAGCCCCCCTCAGGGGCGGTCAGCCCTTGCGGTAGCATTCCAAAACTCACTTTTTTTGTTGTTTTGCTTGCTTTTATGGCTGATTTGGCTCTATAGAGCTCTATATATTGTTAGAGATTCTTTCAGGCACATTATTAGCTACAAAATAAAGGGAATTTAGTGATAAAATCATAAAGTATAACGTCTACTCACTTATTCGCAAAACTAAAGCAAAAACATGAGTTCAAGCAAGTTTGTAAGTCAAAAAGGGTGCGTTTAGTATCAAAATTATATCATAGATAACGGTATATTCAATCGTTATCAACAGACAAAGACACACAGACACACACAAACAAGAGACACATACACAAAGACACACACGGACACACACACAAAGACACACACATAGACATACACACCCACAGACACGCACAGACGCAGACACGCACACATACAAACACATACACAGACACACACACAAACATATGCACAGACACACAGACACAAACACATACACATACATGTTTCTCATTGTAATGTGACTCAGTAAAATGGACAACATATGAACAAAATAAAACAAAAAGTTGTACGATAATCAATTTATTGCAATATTTTTATTTTTATACAACACGAACATCCATAAAATAATCATTGGCACCTACTTATTCAGAAAAAGTACTTGTCCAAAGTAGGAATTGCCATATTTTGCAGAAAAGCAGAGCATAATTTTTTGTAAATCAAGCTTATGAAAACTACACTGACTTTTAAACAATATCACTCCTTTTATGGTTTAAAAACTTCTTATATGGAAAAAGGAAACATTGTTCTTTCTTCTTTGACTTTGTAATCATTTGATGATTTTTGAAATAATAAGGAAATGGCGGATGAGGTGTCGAATAGAGTTTGAGGAATTTTCGCAAAAAGTGTTAGACGTTGTTTGTATGTGTTAAACAGTCTACAAACATTGTTAAAGGCTTAAGGATTTTTAAAAGCTTTTGGAAACACACTAAAAAGAGGGCAAAGATAAAATCTCATTTTATACTGGTTCACTCAACCTAAGTTATGTCAAATTCTCCTTTAAGACTTCTTTAAGGGTTCCACTAACTTTAACAAGTTATAAACGAGTTTCACCACTCCTCGTTTACAACAGCTCAACTGGCTAAATAATGTTTAACTCCCACTAAGTTAAACAATTTCAATGTTTTAAATCATTTTTTATTATCGAAAAACAAATGTATGTTTAAAACTAGTATAGAAAAATAATTCTGTGATGAATCAATGTTTTCTACTATTCACTTAGCTTATTGTACTACATTTGTTTAGGGAATTGTGCTTAATTGTCCAATATTTCCTCAGTTTTGATATTCGGACTTAATTTGACCAGTAATTTTTATTTTAATTAATTTGAATTATTTGAGCGTAATTATTTCCATTATTAATTTCAGGGAATTGTTTGGAATATTATTTTAGGATTTCAAGAGGGCAAAAATGTCAACAACCACTCTCCACATAAGCGTTTTAGATTTAATTCTATAGTTTTTTGTGTATTTTTTGGACAGATTTACACCATTGGGCCATTTTGGGTCAAAGTTGTAAAAGCCTAATTTGTGGGCTGACTTGGGGACAAGGGTTTTAGCATCAAAAGGGGGGAAAACGTCCCATACCCTTCATTCTCGTTTTTGGGGAGTGTTTTGGCTCTTGGACCCATTTGGCGTTTTAGGTTTTATTTACGTTTTCCAGCACATTACATTTCAACAATATAATTTTGATTCTACAATTTCATTTTGGACTCTTATCTTGCAATTTAGTTTCTGCACTTTCAATTCCATGCACTGCAATTTCGTTTTAGGTTTTCCCATTTCATCTTCTATATTTCGTTTCTATATAGCATAACATTTTTCTGTTTGATTTCGTTTTTCTGCATTAAGTTTCACATTTCCAGTTCTGTTCACATTGCCTCTGCTGTTATGTTACCCATTTCATTTTTTTGTTTCATTTCGGTCAAAATGATAGCTTAATCTGTTTTGGGTTGGTGATTAGTGACGTTGCATTGCTTCCATGAGGTTTTTGAATTGTATTGTTGAATCTGCTGCATTGAATCTACATTTCATTCAATTTGTTGTGCATCGTCGATTAGAACACGCTTAGTGGTCTATTTTGGGTTGATTATCGCTTACTTAATTAATCTGTTTGGTGCATAACTGCTCAAATGTGTGCAATTCGTTTGCTTATTTCGTTTTAGGAAAACCCAATTAATCTTCGCTTAGTTGATCAATTGGTGTAGGAATAGGGTGAGAGCAGCGTTTAATTGATTGTTTACTATAAATTTTACAATAATGTTTAGTCGGATAACGTTTAACGAGTTATCCAAGACGGCCTTTGCGATGAACACTATTTTGATAGACGATTTTGTTAAACTTCAAAATAAGGGGTTCCTGGACGATCTTGTGTTAATAATTTCTCCCTTTCAATGATTAACAAATATTATGCTAGTAGTTTATGCATATAGAATATCAGAAAAAAGAAAAATTTAAGCATATAACAGATAATCAATATAAGTGTGTATGTATGATAAATGACTCCCCATTAGTAACAAGACATTGTTTACAACAACATTTAGTAAGATTCAAGGTAAAAATTGTTCAGAGTAGATAAATTATAAGTTAGGAAAAAAAAATTAAAACAAAATAATTGTTCATGATTAATGTAAGCAAAGTATTAACCATCAATTCGCTAGCATCATTCTAAGAATTTCTATCTTATATTTTTACTCGTGTCGGTGGCATGATTTTAAGAAATTCTATCCTATCTTTTCTTTATATCATTGTGTTTAGATTTCTTTACCATTGTTTCTGTTCGTGTGAATATCTATGTTTAGTTGTTGAGATTCATGTAATTTATTTTAAAATGTTAAGAATATAAGAAAATGCCAGTTTATATACTAAATCAAGCTAAAATATTCTTAGACACTCATATAAAGGAGTCATTGTATCAAACATTTTTTAAATCCACCCACCATATCACCATTAAAAAAAAACATTGCTTGGAATTTCTAAGTGTTCTTTCATCACATACATAAAAAGTATGGCTAAGCTCGAAACACAAACCAACAACAACAGAAAAAGAGTAACCTACGTCACATAATTACTGACTAACATAAAAGAACGCAACGTAAAAGAGATGCAATGATATTTTTGTTTGAAATTATATTATTCAAAATCTTACATAAATAAATAACATTATTATGGTACACAAAAACTTTTTCTAACAAAAGAATGTATTTTATTCGTACTTACTTCTTTTTCATCATTTTCCTTTTTCATCATTTTCCTTTTTCTTTGATTTGCAATTCACACTCCACAAGTCTTTTTATCTTTGTGGAACCCAAATTTGCAGATGGTTCACAACATCTTTTAAATTATAAGCTAAATTAATAGGCTGCTTTTTTTAGTATATTATTAGCCTAACAATATTATTGTACACTAAAACTATTGCTAACAAAAAAAATGTATTTATTTAAACAAAAGTAAAGAAAAAATATTCACTAGTGCAATCAAGATATATTGTCTCGATCATTTTCACTTATAGACACCGGTTCTACGACCGGTGCATATTCAAACGAGATAAAAATAATGGATTTTTTTGACTCGGTTCTGAACCGAATCAAAAGGATTCAGATTCTGACTCGGTTCACAGACAACCGAGGCAGTAAAGTTTTTTAATTTTTTTATTTTCAACCGAGACCAGTGTTGTTACGTTTGTTTATTCTCTTTGTGGTTACACTTCTTTCTCTTTTCTACAATTTTCTTCATCCATGTCTTTGGACAAAATTACTTTGACAAACAAACTCAGATGTCTAAGAAGGGGGAACAGGAAGCAGAGAGAGCAGATGGGAGATCCAAACCAAAATCAGAGATCCAAACCAAAAATAAAAAATCAGAGATCCATTTTGACATTCACCTGCAAAGAAACAAAACCAAAAACCAAATCAAAAACCAAAAAACGCAGAAAAGGGTTTCCGCCATTGCAGCCGCCGTCGTGGGCTGTCTCGCCGCACCGTCGCGGGCTCCCGCCGCACCGTCGCGGGCTCCCGCCGCACCGTCGTGGGCTCTCGCCGCACCGTCGCGAGCTCCCTCGCCGCGCCGTCGAGATCTCTCAAGCCTCGCCGCGCTATCGGAGCTCTCTCGCCTCGCTGCACCGTCTCGTCTCGTCACCGTCACTGTCTCGTCTCGTCAGATCTCGTCTCGTCTCGCCTCGCCGCACCGTCGCCGCACCGTCACCGCACCGTCCTGGGGATGCAGAGGCAGAAGTCATCTGGTGAGAGAATGATGGAGTTGAGGGAGAGGGGACTGGAGAATGGGAGGGGTTGCAGGAGAGGAGGGAGGGGATGAGGGAAAGTGAAACGTGAAATGGGAAATGGAAAATGAAACGTTTAGAGTAGAAATGGCTCACTGAAAAGGTGCAACACATTACGCCTCGGTTCTGTTATTAACCGAGGCCATAGCTCTTTCTGCCCTGCTTTACTGGAAAATGTGCAGGTTCTTGTGCCTCGGTCCTGCATCAACCGAAGCAGTACCAGATCCTTATGCCTCGGTCCTTCATCAACCGGTGTCGTAAATGTTTTATGCCTCGGTTTTTTGTATACCCGAAGCATATAACTTCATCTTAATTTCCAAACTGTCACCGCGTCTTTAAATGCTTCGATTTCTACAAAACCGGGGCATATATCACGAGTTAAAAAGGTGTTTTTTTACTAGTGATTTAACCTGCTAATATAAAAGATGATGATTTATTCCTTTTCAATTTTGTACTTACTTCTTTTTCTTCATGTTCTTTTTTTGTGTGATTTTCAATTCACTCTGCACAAATCTTTTTATTGTTGTGGAAATCAAATTTGCACATGGTTCACAACATCTTTTAAATTATAAGCCAAGGCTGCATTTTTTTTTAAGTGTATTATTGGCCTAACAAATTTTATAAATTCCAAACAATACATTAACCAAACACTATAACACCATCATAAACTAAGTTGTTGGTTAATAGTACAACAATATTAATACACATATTACAACTATCCTCCATATTAAGTATATAAAACATAATTTTAGCAATGATGCATTAAGATAGTTAGTTCTTTTAAAGGATATAGAATTCATTAAAAACATTTATTACTAATGAATACAATAAGTGTAACGTAAGTTTATATATATGAACAATCATCCTAGATATTTTGATTTCCCTTTTACAAAAGTTAATTATATGAACTTCTAGATAGATGTACAAAAACAATAGCTTGCATAATACAAGAGAAAATTTATTCATTTGCAGTTTTGTATTTATTTCTTTTTCTTCCTCTTCACTTTGGTGTGATTTTCACTTAACTCTATAGAGTCTTTTGTTATTAATGGATTAAAATTGACCCTTTGATAACAAAAAAAATTATTTTTGGTTTATAAGCTCAATTAACATCAAAATGATTGTATACGTCCCATATAACCCATTAAGAGAACACAATAATGCAAACATAACACAATCATAAACCAAGTGGTGGATTAAAATTAAAACAACATTAGCACACATAGTGATGGTCTAGAATTGGTTTTTATGTATTTCAATTATACTACAAGTTCTTTAAGTCATCATAGAAAGATAAGTAACTAGTTTCACATCAAATTTCCTTCAAATACTTGTTTGATATTTGTTCTGCCAAGTAAATGTAGAAATGTCTCATAGCTCCAGTACAAAACTTGTTTTCATATATGGATTCTAGTGTTAGTATTTCTCCATCTTCGATCTTTATGGAACCAGGTTTTGGATAACAAACTAACATTCCAACTAGGTAACCTGTTTCATTTCCTACTTCTTTTCTAGTTCCGTATTTTGGATTTGAAGTGCATAAAACCCTTCCATCCTAAGTTAAGCATAATCATAAAAATGGACATGATTCAATAAACTATTTAATTTCTTATAAAGATATATAAGTATCAACAAAATTTATTCCTAATGAATATATGATTTAAAAAAAATTTAACGTAAGTTTATCAACATGATATAGCCTATATGGGAACAACAAATATCAAATATTACCTGTCCATATAGAGTAACATTGACAACACCAGTGTGCATATAAGTAGTGTCATATATATAAGATAACCACCTTTTGTCATTGGGATGTCTGCTTTCTTAACATGAGAGAAGTCATTGTCATGATTTCTCGGGATTGTATAAAGAGAGTGTGTGTTGATTGAGTATGCTTGATATTTAGTTTATTACTATTCATAGTATTTTAGTCTATATGATTTAAAAATATTTTACATACCTCTAAATTTATATAAGTTAAATATATATTAAGATTATACTTTAAAAATTGATTGTTGAATTGTTGTGTCCTTGAATCATAACTACCGGAAACAAAGTTGTTTATAGCTAGACTAATACCATGATTATAACCTATTTTTTTAATCAAAATAAACAAATAATGCAACACACACCAAGGTTGTATAATTTTCGATGTTCAAGTGCTACGATTGTGATATCACTTATATGAAATGCTGAAAAAGTAAATTTCACATATACATGTTGCTCATTATTATGTGACTCAGTAAAATGGACAACATACCAATAAAATAAAACAAAAACTGTGGATGTACGATAATCAATTTATTGCAATATATTTATTTTTATTAAAGATGGACATGCATAAAATAATCATTGGCACCTACTTATGAAGAAAAGACAATTATCCAAAACATCAATTGACATATGGCAGAAAAGGAGAATATAATTTTTTGTAAATCAATCTTATCAAAACTACATTGACTTTTAAACAATATAACTCCTTTTATGGTTTAAAAGCTTATGAAATAGAAAAAATAAACATTGGTCTCTCTTCCTTGACTTTGTAATCATTTGATGGTTTTTGAAATAATAAGCAAATGGCGGGATGGGGGTGTAGAATAGCGTTTGAGAACGTTTCAAAAAAAGTGTTAGACGCAGTTTGCAGTTTGCAGGTGTTACACAATCTGTAAGAAATGGTTGAACGCTTGAGGATTTTTAAAAACATTTGGAAACACACTAAAAAGAGGGTAGAGATAAAGTTTGTTTTATACTGGTTCACTTAACCTAAGTTAGATCCAATTCTCCTTTAAGACTTCTTAAATGGTTCCACTAACTTTAAAAAGTTACAAACGAGATTCACCATTCCTCGTTTATAATAATCCAACTGGCTAAATAACATTTAACTCCTGAAGTACCTGAAAAACACCAGAAAGGGGGGAAGGGGTTGAATAGTGTTAATGAAAACTTTTTTCGCAACCCTTCTGATATAGCACTCTATCGAGCTTTTGGAATATTCTTTAAAAAGATTTGAGGTTCGACTTGAAATATATGTATAAGCGTTGATAAGTTTGTCGTACTATTCAAAATATATCAACTGTAGTATTTTGTAAGAACTTACTTAAAAAGAAATTATCGTTTAGCTTGGAAGTTCTTGTATTTGAAATATAAAACTTAACTGCAGGTTTTGTAAGAGGATCGTTTAGGTAAGAGAAGAGAAAACAACACAAGAGATTTTATACTAGTTCGCTCCAACTTAGCTACGTTCAGTCTTCTCTGGAGAGGGTTCCACTATAATCTTCACACGATTACAAATGACTACTAGCACCACTCCTAGTACTTAGCTACCTCGTCGGGATGTCCTTTGAGTATTAACACCACTCCTAATATTCAACACCCTGTCGAGATTTCCTTTGATTATTCACACCACTCCTAGTACTCAACAACCTTAGCCGAGATTTCCTTTGAGTATTTAAACCACTCTTGGTACTAGACTACCGCGCCTAGATTCCTCAACTCAAACAAAGTTTAGTTGCAAGTGTTTTAATTCTCTTCAGAATTGCAATCAACGATTGTTTACAAGTAGTTAAAACTATATCTCTCAACAAGGGGATTTGATTACAATACAACACAGTCTAAATACTCGCAAGTGTTTCTCTCTTCTTTGTAATAGTAGTTAGAAATTTGACGCATAAGCTCGAGAGTATCTCTTTCTTTTTTCTTTTCTCTTCTCTTTTCTTCTGCTCAGATGTATTATTTTTCATGAGCTCTTTCTCTTTTTCTCTTTAGGATGGATATTTCGTTGTAAGCTTTTCTTGTGCTTTTGAGCTATCCTCTTGATTTTGTTCTTGAAAGATCTTCTATTTATAGGCTTCTTAGATATTTTTCCGTTAGACTGAGTTTGTAGTATGCCTTTATGGTTGTGTTTTCTCTTCCTTCTTTTCGCAGTAGTCGTTGTATCAGTCAACTTTGTCAGAGCATGCATACTTTTTCAGTCCTTTGCTTGAAGTAGGTTGTACGATCTTTTTAGACTTTGCTTCAAGTGAGGAACATTCCGTGAATATCTCATTTGTCTCTAACGTCCACATTTTGATATTTGATTTATAGCACTATGGATGCGAGTAGAATAACTTATCTACAAAATTGGAGTGAAATGTGCATGCAATATATATGACTTCTCTTATCACTTTTTGTTGTTTTTGAACGTTGAACAATTTAATGTCATTTAATGCTTTATTAGAACAACAAAATGCTTTTTGATTTCCTACCGTTAGGTAGCATTTTGTAATTAAGTTTTTTTATCTGAAGATACCAAGCGTAGAAAAATACTCCACCAAAGGATGAGGTATTTGTCTAGCTAATGGTGTCGTTTGATCAAGTAAACGTTTCATTATCTTTTTTCTCTTTTTAGACTGATAGTGTTTAGCTTGCTTAAGCTTTCTTTTATATTTTAATGATTAAGTCTTTTAATGTATTTTATCAAAGACATTGTCTCAACCTATTTTGTTTTCGAGAGAAGCCAAATTCTTAATCCAGGTATTATAAGCATTGAGCGTTTAACTCAATCTCTCTTGGACGCTTTTAGACAAAACATCGTTTAGCCTTGCGTTTGGGTGTTTTAGCCTAGATGTTTTTCTATTTCCTAAGACTTAAGTGTTTTCCTATGTTTTTCTATTTTTGGAGTTCAAGTTCTAGGTTGTGTTTGTTTGGGGTTTAGGCTCTAGTGTTGTGTTTTCACCCTAGGTTACTTTCTGATTGTTAACTCGTTTTAATGTTATTTGATTAAACTTCAAAATAGAGAGCATTTTTTTGAATAGAAGGTTTTGTCTTTAACAACTCCCACTAAGCTAAGCAAACCGATAATTTTGAATCACTTCTCAATATCGAAAAGCAACAGTATGTGTAAAGCTAGTACAGAAATATAACTCTCTTAGGAGGGATATTATGATCAAAATAATAAAGATCTCATAAACTTGTTACAAACATGAACTACC